TCATACACAAAGGTTCTCCAAGTAGAAATCAAGAACAAGATCTGGAGAATTCACACGAAGTGGACCTCAAATAGTTTAAGTCTAAATAAGCAAAGACTCAAAGGGAGAAATCACTAGGGAAAGTATAACATACATTGAGATCACCTGATCTTGCATCTAGAAAACCCTAAGGAACCCCTACTGTCTGGTACAGAGCAGTGGAACGGAATGATCTTGAGACTAGGGAGGGAAGACTGAGTGGATCACTGCTAGCTCCTTGTAACATAACAACATCACACGTGGTACCTGGTGGCCCTACCTGGGAGAGATTTTCTTTGGTTTTCTTTGAACCTCTAGTTCAGGGGTTCTCAACCTTCCTCAGGCCGCGGCCCTTTCATACAGTTCCTCATGTGGTGGTGACCCCCAACCATAACATTACTTTCATTGCTACTTCATCACTCTCATTTTGCTACTGTGATGAATCGGGCAACCTTGTGAAAGGGTTGTTCTACCCCAAAGGGGTCGCGACCCACAGGTTGAGAACCGCTGCTCCAGCTGCTGCTCCTTAATCTGATGTGCCACGTTGTCACTTTTCTGACTTTTAAACCTTGACATTCCCCGGGGTTTAGCCTTTGAGGCTAACCCCTGTGTAGGTACACCCCTCCCCTGATGATCTCATGTGGTCTCACGGCATTAAGTATTATGTGTACTCAGATGCAGCTGGCTCCCAAATGCACATCTCTGACCCAGACTTGTGCCCTGAAATCCAGGCACGATTATCCACCGTCTGCCCGACCTCTCCATTTGAATATCTGACGAGGCATCTAAAACTCAACACATGCAAAACACAATTCCTGATCTCACCCCACAGCCGCCCCCACAATTTTTCCCAATTCATCCTCACAGCTTCATCGTTCGTTCTCCAGCCAAATGTTTCCATTCCCCAGCGCCTCCCTTCCTTCTCATGCCCTGAATGATCTGTCAGCCGGTGTTCCTAGAAGCTGGCCCCTTCTCACCATCAAGCTACAATCATCTTGGGATTTTGCCTCAGCTTCCTAATTGGTTTCCCTGTTTTAACCCCCGCCTCCACCCCCACCCCACCCCCAATGTTCTATTTTATTATCAGCCTAGTGAACCTTTAAGAAAGTCGGTCAAATCATGCCACTCAATCACTCCTCTGGTTTCCCATAGTTTCCGTAAGGAAAGGTAGTCAAACTGGCCTGCAGATCCTTACCTGATCGGAATCCCTGCAGCCCACCTCCCGATTCTTCATACTGGAAGTCGCTTTCACACTGAAGGATCAGCTTCCTTGCTTCCAATTTTTTATTTTTACATCCGCTTCAGAGTTTGTAAGCCAGCCACTCCATGCCCTTATCTTCCCCCATTTTCGATACCCAGTTTCTAAATTGCCTGTCCCTCACAGCTTAGAGCTGAGGAGACGATGTTTCTTGATGTGATGAGTCTTCATTTCTGGTTGGACCTTTGGCCGTCAGCATGCATAAGCAAAGTTCAGTCTACGGCTGGCCAGTGATAGAAACTGCAACAAGGCACCCCAGCTCACAGAGACTAGCATCTTTGTCTTCATTTGGTCGGTGTATGAGTCTAGGTACTTTAGAGAAACAAGTCCACAGAAACTCATGAACTCATGTATAAGAGAGAGTTTTATATAAAGGGTAGGTGCACATCAAGAAAACATGCCAACCCAGTGCTGCCCAAGCCCACAAGTCCAACATTAGCCTGTATGTCTGACACCAATCCACGAAGTCCTCCTCCATCTCACAACACACACGCAATGATGCCAACTGCAGGAAGAAAGTCGAGTCAGTGAATGTGTAAGCATATCAGCGCTGACAAGGGTCTCCACACGGCTGCTCCAGCACCAGGGCTGCATCAGGGTAGGTCCATGTGGCTTCTGCCCAGGGGTGTCTTGCAGGAAGTGAACCTTGCAAGCAAAAGCAGGGAACTGGCTAAGGCAGCTACACTCTGGTCCGACCATCACAAAGCCAGAGACCCAAGAACTCGAAAGGCGAGACTCACCAAGCCATTTATCCCTCCGCCCTTCAATTAGCCCCACATGTGTTTCTCAGCCAGGTTGGCACAATCAGCTAACTACCTGAGTCAGGTTCCGGTCGTCTCCGCCCTCGCCATCGACGCTAGGCCAATCGATACCAGCTGCAAGCTTGAGAATCCATCAACAACTCCCTGCCTTTCATACCAGCTGACCCCAGGGTCAATATTCCCACAACTTCTGAAATTCCAGACCTGCTAGCCATTCCTCTCCTCTCTCATTTTTAGCTCACGTAGGTACCATCAATGGTACCATCAATGGGTACCAATGGGACATGTCCAAATCAGTCCATCTCTTGACTGCTACGTTTTCCACTTCCACTCTCAGCAGATCCAGGTGGCTGCCGTTTACTGAGCACCCCGTGCTCACAGCCCCCTTTAACTTTCAGGTCTAGAAAGCCTGGGCCCAGCCTTTCCTGCTTTGATGCATCCAAAGGCAAATCGCTTGCTCCAAATGTCTAAAGTCCGACAGTCGTTTTTCTCCACAGGGGTTCCCTTCAATGTGAAGCTCCTGTCCGTTCAGCAGTTCTGAGTGGGGCTCGAGTTTTCCTTCGAAACCCCTTACTCTACCTTGGTTTCCAACAAAAAAAGGCTTTTCGCGCAATTCTTAACTCCCCTGTAAATTATCTCATTAAATATAGGCTGAAGGCAGACTTACAAGTTCTTGTAGTCATCGTTACTGTCTTGTAATCATGGTTTATTTCCTATGATACAATGCCAGGTAGGAGAAACATTGAGTATCAATAGTGAAGCCAAATACGCATGTAACTATTAACCCTTTTAATACTATCGCAATACAGTGTTCTCTTCTCCACTCCTAGACCATATCTATTTACGTACAAGTGACGTTGGCACTCTGGCAGGATAGTTCCAGAGAAGGGCGTGCCCTCCTATTAAACTTAATCAGCCAAGGAGTGCTCTCCAGACAGCTCGAGAAGCAAACTTGTGTCCAAGACCTAAGCGGCAGCATTTATCATCCGCTACAAGTAACAGTAACCTGAACAGCCACCCTAGAAATCAAATGTTTTAGTTCCCATGTCTTTTTAGTTCTGTCTCAAAATAAACCCTTGCTTCGATGAGGCTGAGCCATTGCAATGCCTCCCACTCCTGATGTCAATTGTGGCGATCATTTATTTTGTAAGAATTCATGCTAAACTAATCCCAAGGAGTTGGAGACCGGAGAAGTCCTAGATGGCCAACTCTTCCCCCAGATGCTGGTCTGCTCCATTTCGATCCCATTTCTCCCTGGAGGAGATTCCCTTGCATTTTCCTGGTTCTGCACATCGTGGCAGCGTCCCACAGAAACGCAGAAAAGAAAAAAAAGTTTTTAAGAAAAAAAAGAAACTCAGAAAAGCTTGAAGAAATGTCTCGTGTGATCGTGGGGGCTGTTCAGTCCAAAATGCAAAGGTCAGGCAAGGGCAAGCCGAGTGCTGGGTCCAGAGGACACGCTCCACTCTGGGCTCTTGCAGGTGATGCGGGCTCTCCCCCTTTTCTCAGAGGGTTCATTTTATATGCCCGCGCTTGGCATATAAAATATGCCCACAGATCCTTGTTTGGTGGGAGGTAGAGACCGGCTAAAAGAACCACTTTTAGTAATTCGCTGCCCCTGCAATATGGCCTCCTTGCCATTCCTTGAGCATACAGGGCCTTGGCCCCTACTGTGTCCTCCTATTAGCTACAAATCTGGGCTTTACCTCGCTCAAGTTGTTGCTTAACTGTCCACATTTCAATGACATTCTCCCCTGACCAATTTAAAACTGCAACGCCGCCCTCTGACACTCCTATCACCCTTTTCTGCTACAGTTTTCTTCATATGACTCACACCTGTTTAAAACCATATATACTTAACCAATGGATTTGGTGGTGTCTCCTCACTAACAGGAAACTCCACGAGGGGTGGGATTTTTCCCTGTTGTAGTCTCCACTGTCTCTCTGAAGCTGTAATTGTCGGGCACTGACTTGGCCTTCTGTTACTAAGCGTTCAACGACTGAATGCGTGCACACGTGCATGCCAGGTCGTTTCCTGGTCGCTAACTGCTGATGACAACCACAGGAGAAGGTCTCTGTGTATGAGAAAGACCCTGATGGGCAGGCTGCAGCCAGGTCATTAGCCCTGATCTTCTGCCCCAAAATACACTCGCAGCCCTTGCTCCAGTCTAAGGGAGCTTTCCGGCTCCAGAGCTGCTTTGGGGAAAAGGCATTCCTGGGGACCAGGAGGGGCCACTGAGGGGCCAGTGTAGGAAGATGCCCTGTGAGCCCATACTGGGGCCCATTTGCAGATGCATCCGGTAGAGTCCATAAGCATCTATAAAGTTTTGGCTTTCAGGTATAAAGAATGATTCCATTAAAATGGGAAAAACCAAACCCTGCCATTGGACGGATTCTGACTCATAGTGACCTCAGTGGCACAGTCCGTGATGGGTCAGCTGCTAACCACAAGGTCAGCCATTGAACCTCCCATTGGCTGTGCCGGAGGAAAATGAGGCTTTGTGCTCCCCTAAGATTCAACCTCTGTCGTAAGAGGTTGTTATGAGTGATGATTCCATTAGTGAGA